AGGATTCTGTAATTCATAAGAAGGTCACCTCTAAGACACCTTTACTCTAACGGGTAAAGGTTAAATGATTGGAGGCGTTCTTCATAAGATTTGAATTTGAGTCCCTGAACTGATTTCGTGGCTCGACATTGGATACGTTCCAGAGTGTCCTTATCCTTTTGGAGGGAGGGAGGAAATACTATGTTTCCGTACTCTAAATGGGGACGAATAAAACTGTTGAAGATTATTTAGAAGGTCATTTGAAGTGTTGAAGGTAAGTTCGTTGTCGTCTGCCCAACTTTGAAGTCGAGTCAGATCCTCCGGAAGAACTAGTATATCATTATGATTACATATCTCTCTCCAAAGTCTCACATCATCAGCAAAAAGCAATAAGTCAGATGAAACTTCTTGAGGAAGATCGTTAATGCAAATCAAGAAGAAAAGTGGTCCTAGTACTGAGCCCTGGAGGACCGCACTAGGACATTCAATAGCCTGAGAGAGAGTGAAGTTAGCCCTGACCTTAAAGTGTCGGTTTTCTAAATATGAAGTGAGCCAGTCAATCAAAGGGGGTTTTATACCCAATCGTCTAAGCTTCTTGATAAGACATACGTGGTTAACCCTATCAAAAGCTTTTGAGAAATCCAGGTAAATGACGTCAACCTTACCCTTGCGATCAAGGATGGTTGTCCATCTATCCACCGCAGTCAGCAGGTTGGTCATATAAGGATGACCTTTTCTGAAACCATGCTGTTGAGGTGAGAAGAACTTTGAGGATGATATGTATTCTTGTATACCGTCATATATTAGAGATTCCATAATTTTGGAAGGTATGGAGAGAACGGCCACTGGTCGGTAGCTTGAGGGTTCACTGCGTCGACCTCCTTTGAAATTGGTGTGATGTGAGCCAACTTCCAGATTTCCGGCAGTTTGCCTCTGCTTAGCGAGTGTGCAAACATCACGCTAAGTGGTGTCACCAGGATTGAAGCTGCTTCCCTCAATACAGCGGAATGAACCATATCCGGACCAGGAGAAGTGTCTTTTCTTAGGTGCTGCAGTTTACGGAGCACCAGGTCAGCACTCAGGTCCACTTCGCAAATCAAGAAGAAAAGTGGTCCTAGTATTGAGCCCTGGAGGACCGCACTAGGACATTCAATAGCCTGAGAGAGAGTGAAGTTAACCCTGACCTTAAAGTGTCGGTTTTCTAAATATGAAGTGAGCCAGTCAATCAAAGGGGGTTTTATACCCAATCGTCTAAGCTTCTTGATAAGACATACATGGTTGACCCTATCAAAAGCTTTTGAGAAATCCAGGTAAATGACGTCAACCTTACCCTTCCGATCAAGGATGGTTGTCCATCTATCCACCGCAGTCAGCAGGTTGGTCATATAAGGATGACCTTTTCTGAAACCATGCTGTTGAGGTGAGAAGAACTTTGAGGATGATATGTATTCTTGTATACCGTCATATATTAGAGATTCCATAATTTTGGAAGGTATGGAGAGAACGGCCACTGGTCGGTAGCTTGAGGGTTCACTGCGTCGACCTCCTTTGAAATTGGTGTGATGTGAGCCAACTTCCAGATTTCCGGCAGTTTGCCTCTGCTTAGCGAGTGTGCAAACATCACGCTAAGTGGTGTCACCAGGATTGAAGCTGCTTCCCTCAATACAGCGGAATGAACCATATCCGGACCAGGAGAAGTGTCTTTTCTTAGGTGCTGCAGTTTACGGAGCACCAGGTCAGCACTCAGGTCCACTTCGCAAAGGCCTGTGCAGGTGCAGGTGGCGCTTTCGTCAGTATAGTTGATGTGGATCAGCTGGAATGTCTGGGAGTATTGTTCAGCCAAAAGGTTAGCGGCATCACCGTCGTTATTGGTCGGGCCATTAGGACCTAGCAGTTGGGGAACTCCAGTTTTGCCTAGTTGAATAGAAGCTGCGTAACTGAATAAGCTTTTCGGATTGGAGACAAATTTATCGATAAGCTTGGTCTGGAACTGAAGCCTGTCTTCTCTTATAGCCTTTGTGCATATGTTCCTTATGAGTTTATATTGCCTGTATGCGTCGTTATTGTCGGTTCGTTTATATTCGGCCCAACGGTGCCTTTTGCGGCTTCGCAAACGACGAGTGCGGTTCTTGATGATTGCAGGTTGTTTGTAGCTTTTTGGGACCATTTTAGGAACTGAATGCTCAGTAACACATAAGATCGTGTGCAGTAAAAAATCCCAATGGGCATCCACTTCAAGTTGAGGGTGAACATCCCAATCCACCTGTTGTAGATAATCCTGTAAAGCTAACACATTCAACCATTTGAAATTCCAGCGCCTGTTGCTAGTGGGATATCTTAGCCCCGTTTTGCTGACAAAGCTGAAGGATAGGACGGCGTGATCACTTTTCCCCAGGGGAGCCAGGATTGAGAGATGGTCAACTAGGAATTCTTCATTTGTGAATACCTAGTCTAAGCGCGACGGTGTCTGACTGTTTCTCCAACGAGTTGCCGACTTCACATTTTCAAATAATCCCAGATCACCGATGAGGTTGAAGAACAGAACTTTAGTAGAGTTGTCACCTCCAATGTATGTATGTTCCACGAAGTTGATTCTAGGAAGATTGAAGTCCCCTAGAATTAGGATTTAAGAGAATCCGAGACGCGTAGAGTGAGTTAATCCTTCCAGCAGACGTTGTCTCATACTCGATGTCGGCAGTGGGCTTCCTGTAGATGACTCCAACTAGACACCTCGAGGTGGTAGACAATCTTACTGCGCACCATACTGACTCATCAAGATTGAGAAACTCTTGGTTGTGAAGTTGGTGCGCATCCAGGAATGGCCGTATGTATAGCGCTACCCCACCCCCATTCCTGTTTTTCTGTCGTTGCGAAACAAAGACATTCCAGTTATTGCTAGCTCCTGGTCTGTAAACTGAGACGTTATCCAAGTTTCGGATATTCCTATCAGATGGGCATTATTAGCGTTGCTAAGTTCACGTAGCTCATCCATTTTGTTTGGCAAGCTCGCGGCGTTCGTGTATAGGCAGTTTATGCTTTCAATTTGGAACGCCTGAGCTTCTACCTGGGTGTCTTTATGAGCCGTGTGTGAGTGGACAGGTAGCCTACCTATACAATGCTTACCGAGTTGGTAGTCCCTGTCCTTTACACGTTTTTTTATGATCAAGACAGTCCACGAATGGAATTGTCAGGTCCAGCTTTCGTTTGTGCCTGATCCTGCTGTCGTGGGGCCTATCTGGTTGCATATGGATGCCAGTTGGCAACCGACGTCTATTGGCACGAAACGCTTCCAGAGTTGCAGACGCCATGTGGGAGGAGGGGAAGGTTATCTTCAATAGTCGGGACCTAGAGTCTCCGTCTCTCTTGGCTAGTCGCATCACCCGTTGGGTCAATATGTTCTTGAGTTTTAAGGAATGCTTAATGAATTTCCATTCCCGAATATCAGAGTTTGCTTGAGTTGGTTCCATATTTTCCGGTACACCTTGCACAATGATATATCTTCCACGGAAAAACGCCTGGCGAGATTCCTTAGGGATGTTCTGGATGAGATTTCGTTCAGAATACGGTATGTCGGGCAGTATTCTTACGTTCCCATCGCATTTCAGTAAGTGACTGGCTAGCAGGACGTCCTCTGCATCAGAGGCATTCTAAAGTGTAACACGAAGCAGCCTCGGGTGGTTTAGGTGGTTAGAGTCCTTCCCCCGAGTGAGCCGTGTGACCGTCAAAGGCTCTATTCTAGGGAGTTCAAGCCTCTTGTTCAATTCTCCCCAGAGCATCCTATCATTTTTGTCCTGCATATTGAGAGGAAGGTCGGGGTTGTCAATAAGGTTCATGATTATGACAGAGTCGTCACGAACCGCAATTGATTTTCCAGGTTTTCCAGGGCGTCTAGGTTTGGTATCTTGTTGTTTAGATGTCGAGGCGCGTTTTCGATTACTGGGCTCAGTGATGACCGGGCGGACAGTCTTGGGTGTAGACTGTGCGGCCACATCATCAATTGATTTCCGCACTGTACTTGGGATGTCCAGCTTCGGCGGGGACGCTTGGGCCTTTTTACTCCTGTTAACGTGAGTCCAACAACCTACAGGATTTTTGGGAACCACAGTCTCATTTAAGGACTCTTCCATGGGGGACCCAAGTTTACTGAGGGAGCCGATGACAGTCGATTTTAAGATAGTGCTAAGTTTCAGCACGTCATCACTCGTGCTTTTATCCGCACCGTTGATAGCCGACCTATCAATATCCTTTTTCTTGTTTGCCCTATGCGTTCCAGTTTTGTTACCCGTCATGATACTGTCATTTACCGAATTCTTAGACAACTTATCTCTCAGACCTGTTAGTAAAGTAATAATGGTACCCAACATAACTACTGTATCAGTGTTGCAGGTAACACATACCCACCTACGATCAAACTTGCTGAGTCTTCTATAGACTGCTGCTGTTAGATCTGTACATGCTTAGTGGAACCAACCTTTGCAGTTGTCACATTACATGCCAGATGCAACAGCGGAACTGCAACCAGATCTTTTGCATGAATTTTTCATGGCTAATGATTTAGACTGTCTTAAAACTACAAGCAGTAAATTTAGGACCGTTAAAAAAAACACAGTATAGAAAAACTGGCAAAAATGTATAAAAACAGTTAACAATAAGCTAAAGCTAGTCTTCACGTGAAAACTATAAAAAAAACGATAATGAGCTGAGGCAAAACCACAGATAACTATTAAGTTGAGTGAAACGCAATAAAAAAGTAATCTACCGAACGTATAGCTCAGAATGGATTCTTTAGATCGAAAATGGTACCTTTGTTTCTTAAGAACGCAGCAAAATTTTGAGAAATGTAAATCACGTTAGGACTAAACTTCCCGACAGACAGATCTTCAAAATCCTTTACAATATACTGCACCAAAATTATTGAATTCCACCTCTCAACCTTCACGAAAGCATACGATAGTAAAGTTATTTCAGAAATTCACACAGTCTCTTTGTAAACGTTCATTTTGTTTGTTGGCGTCAATAAACTAAACCTATTGTTTTATGTTACTTTAAATTGCGTGAAATGTCCTTGGAATTTTCGTCTCCACTCGGTCAGTCAACCAATGTGGAGCGAAAGCTGGAGAGCAATAAGTAACTAAGTTTAATCAATGTAAGATTTTTAGATTGAAAAACTTTGGTTTTCTCGTACCTCACATTTTTGAGTTTGAGAATGAATTACAAGAGCTTTTATTTGAGATTGATATGCTTATTGAAAAGAAGAAATGTGAGTGGGAAGGAGATCTCCAAGCCCTTGAAAGAAAGCTGTCGATTAAGGTGTCTGAAAATAACAGGCTACAGGGTCTTGTTAACGAAAAAGAAAGGGATGTAAGTTATCTTTTTATATAATAAACTGTTCTGATAGTTACAAGATGCTTTTAGGCGCCTTGAAATGGTTGAATCTAAAGATCAAAGAATGTGTTATGGCAAACAAATTGAGGAATTAAGTCACAAGGTTGACGCCATGAAAGCTAGTTACAGTAATCTTCAAAGTAAATATCAAAAGCAATTAGCTGCAGAAAAAAGTGATTTCTCAATGCATCTACGTAATCTAGAGACTGAAAATGAAGCTCTAAAAGCTGAGTACGAGAGATTAAGGTGCGTTATTTACTCTTCGGTTAAATATTCAAGTTTACAGAATAATTACTTTAAAGTGTACCTCATTGTGGATTTCATGTTTGGACATGAATAGTGAAATGTAGTAAGTGAATGAATATATGCGGTAGCCACAATAAAATGAGACAGTTATAGAGATTCGAAAGCAAGCTAATTTCCGCTTCTGATTACTTGATATTTTAGTTAAGCAAAGTCGAACTTCTAATCATACTTCATATTGGGGCAACTTGTCTCTTTATTGTTATTCTCTGACTTAATTCAAATTATCACACCTTGTCTTTCACCAAGAAGATGTTTTCTGCAGTGCACGCTAAATAAAAAGGTGTGCCCATTGACTTCTTGTCCTGTCGGTAACATACAATCATTAGGCCGGATTTTATTATTCAGCATGACATTAATATGAATACTTGGTAAAGGTTTCAACCAACTTAAAAATTCATCGACTTGTAAATTCTGAGCAACCTTTGTCGTATTTAAATTTTTTTCTTGTTTCTATTTAATGATACGAAAAAACCTCGTCTGATTTACGACTCATGAGCTGTGTAATTTTCTGTAAGGATGTTTATATTTCACATTTATTGTTATTTCTAATAGACTAAAAGTTAAGCTTTTTGATTCCTATTTTCTAAAACTAATATTCGACCTCAAGGTACAACGTTTGACAGAAGACAGATGGTATGGTTCATTAGGCAGTCATTCTAGCTAGTCCTGTTTGTGAAACTCACAAAATAAAAGTACCATTATCCTACCATATGGGTGATGATGCTTTAGGACTGATGAACACCTATTTTTACTTTAACACAGAATTAAATGGCTCAAATGTTTGGTCGTTCTACTTACTTATATAAACCGCACATAACCTGTTTATCTCATAAGTTGCAGTAATCACCTCTTTTTTCATGACTTTATTACACGGAAGGGATTGAAAAAAAACCTAATGATATTCTCGTGATGATTCTATGCGCGATCATAGTTTCACCGTTTTATGTTTTTTCACTGAGTGTGAAGTTCAAATGCCACCATTTCTACCTCATTTTTGTTAGCCACACACCAGTTATGAAAGACGCATGATAATGCTAGTAGTCAGATACGTTTAATCTAGTCCTATAATTTTTAAATAGCTATTTTCCTATTTGGAAAGAAAGAACTGACGCTGATTTCTAATATGTTAATTTGTAGATTCCACTATCAAAGCAACCCATTGTGCCACTGAATGAAAATAAACAGGATTTATCGGATACAATTTTTTTCAACGAAATCCTTCACTTAAGCTGTACATTCGTATTTATAGTTTGACAAATATATATGTCTATAGAAAAATAGAAAAGCTTGCATTTGAAATCATTTTATGATTCAATTTTTTCCATTTTTCTGTAGACATATATGTTTATTAAACAACTATAAATACGAATGTATAGCTTAAGTAAGTGATTTGGTCGAAAACAAAATTTTCTCTGTTGAGTTAACCATTATTTCTCAACTTCAGTCTATGTAGTTAACTTATATATTGAACACAGGTTTTGTACTCAGGTTTGAGCCGCATAGAGTATGTTGACATGAGTAGGAATACCCAGCTACTCAAAGCTAATAGGTGAAGCGGGTTCAAATCTGGGATCTATAGGTTACTGTGCGAATCCAAAGTTTTCGAAGAGCGTTAGCACTAGGTTTTTGAAAAACTAAAGTGCCTTACTGAAATTTGATTGAGTTTTATAGACTTTAATGAAACATAGCCTTTAGCATTCGTAAAATTTGAGATAAAACCTATTTTCTCTCATTTACAATATTCAATCTCGCTCAAACTGTTTATGGTTCATAATGTTTATATTAGTTTATGTTTCGTTTAAATTTGGATTGGATTTTCGAGTGATTTCTAGACTTCATTATGAGTTATTGTTTAATCCATTTTACCATAACTTTTAAAGATTTTCTGTAGATTTTAGTTTCTTGCTATCTTCGTAGATATCTTACATAGATTAACTCGCCTTATTCGTTTATCTTCACAGTTTCTTGTTGAACTTTCTGATTGTTATTGTATGAATGAAGTTTAACACTAACTGTTTACTGAATACTTTGAATGTAACCTTATGAAGTGACAGCTTAGGAAATTTTGCGTACGTATATGTTCTGTGCTAACTTTTTATTGCAATTTTTTAAGGAACTACACAATGTGGTGTTACACAAATTACAAGTCAACCATTGTCTATTTCAAAAACAGGGTCAATGCATCGACTATTAGGTTATTACTTATTAAATTAAAACTAAGGTACAAATCAGTCAAACAACTCAAACCATATTCAATATAACTAATTCCCTTAATTTTTCCGTTTGTAGACTACCATTTTATCATTCTAGTGAATTTGTTTATTCAATATAGTTATATTCAAGTGACCTGGTTTCAATAAAACATTTAGGTATTTAGCTTTAACCAAGAAGTCAAGGTAGAATCTTGGAATCAATATTAGATCATACTTAAAACGTTGTTTGTCCTTTTCCAACTTGTAATCTAGACAAAAAAATGAACAGATTATTTCATCACTGAAACAACAGTTGGCAGACCAAAAAAGTGACACAATTGATATTCAGAAACGGTATGATGAACTGCAATCTCAATTTGAGGTGAAATTACAAGAAGAAGCCAATCAAAAGAATAACATTAAAGAGATGAAAGAAGAACATCAATCAGCTATTGACAAACTTAGTAAACAGCTAAATGATCATAAAAATACAATTAAGCTTCAGGTATTTTTGAGCCAGTTTCTCTGATTATTAATTCCTTTATAGGCTGAAGAATTAATGATCACTAAAGCATCACTCACAAATAAAATTTCGGAAATTCATCGCCTTCCTCATGAAGCTGAAATGAAAAAATCGGTTATAAATGGTTCTCAGAAATCTGTAAAGCGTTTAGAAAAAACTGTGGCAAAGCATTTAAACTTACTGTCACATCGAAAACACAATTCGACACCCAATATATCAGTTAAACATGGACCAACTTCATTTACTGACTTATCATCACCATTACAACAGCTGCAGCAACCTCTCAATGATCAAGAAGAAATTACTCATAAAGTTAAGTACTTGGAAAATCAATTAAGTGAAGCTAATAATACCCTCATAGATAAAATGTTAGAAATAAGGTAATCGACTTACTTACCGATAATTTAATATAATTAAACGTGGTATATTTTTCTGCTCAAACAGATTGTTGTTCAGGTATACTAAAACCACCTCTATCAGTCAGCTTTAGATTCACTCACTTAGATGTATCTATTTATTTGGATTTACGTAAAGTGTTCGTTAACATAGAATAGATCTTCTAATAACCTCCCCAATAAAATTGGGATTTCTAACTCATTGGGTTAGATACTTGATTTTCAACCAACATGCCACACTTCGGAACTCTTAGTCAATCAAAGTTTATAGAACTAAGTGCTGCGTTAACATTCATACAGTCAGTATGACTAATCATCCACTACATAATTCCGCATTTAATTATTGAGTTGTAATAATTATGTGTTGTTTGGGATGGTACTTATGAGCTCATTTTAGTTTGTATATCGTTAGAAGGCAACTTATAAGGAAACGAATGTGTTGGTTATCTTGACAGAACCTTTATAAACAAACAAGTGGAGACAACGAGGAGTCTGGAAAAATCTAAGCGATATTTATTACAGGTAGAAAGAGGGAATGGAGAATTTCCATATAGTTGACAAAAATATGCAAAATGTTTGTTTTGTTTAAAAAATTCCCACTATTTTGACAGTTATCAATTTAATTCTTCAGTGGCTACTGAAAATCGCAAGCACTAATTAGTAATCAATATTTCGTCAAGTACAATTCATTCAGTTCTTTAGAACGATTTGTGCTGAGATATTCTAGCCATGTTTATGTTTCGTTGTCATAAAGTTAATGAAAACTACTGACTGAATCATCTGAAAAAATTCAGCTGTGATTTTTCGATGTTGAATTAGGGGTTATTTTTATAGCAAAATATCACAAAGTGTGGTAACAGCTCCAAGCTATACTCTTAGAATATCCAAATCTGATACGTATTACTGTTAATACCTAGTTTATATTTAACGAAGTTGAAAATAATCACCACTAAGAATATGTCGAATATATCCATAAGAACTACTGATAAACCGTTTTTTAGGTTTTGTTTGCCTGACTAACATAAATCTTATTAGTATTCTCAGTTCAGATATTTAATTCTAAGTTTTCTTCTAGGATCAACAGTAAGCGATCCACAGTTGATACAAACTGTGCCCTTATGTCTTCAGTCCAATTAAATACATTGACAACTTTTCGTGATTAGTTGGATGAGAATTCTCGCTCATGATTTATAGTTACAGAGTAACTTAGTGTCATATATTATTGTTGATGTTGAAAGATTCCACATATATCACAGTTCGGAAGTACATTTGTGTATATTATGAGTGCCTAGATATTTATTTAAAAGCTTTGCATTTGGAATCCAACTGACTGATACTGCTACCTTTAAATTCAAATATTCCCTTAATTACATTCAAAACTTATTTGCAACTGTCTACAGATTTCAAAAGTGAATTCTTCTGTACAATAACTCCAACAGGGTTACATTTGGTTGTCCTCCCGAAAACTTTAATTTCATCTTAATTATCAACTAGTACAACGTTACTATCCGGTTTTTTCCACTTGTGCTTTAACAAGAAGGCAAAAGCACTAGATATCGATCGAATAAAACTAATCATCGTCTAGAACTGATATCTTCCATGAGAAAGCTAAATTTAATTGAACGTCGTCTATGGTCCTATCTTCAGTCTTAATTTTCCTCTTGCCAAGCTAAATCAATAAAAATTAATCAAAGTATAACATTTATGCTATCACGATCTGAGCCGTTTTGTATAAAACGGATTTCTTTTATTAGATTTTGAAAATATGAGTCGGAATTGATCAGGACAGGGGGTAAAGTTATCTAGGGAATTATCTACCTTTCGCGTTATTATCAGGACACTTACAACTAGGGTCGAAATGTGTTGATGGTTTTAGTTGTAGTAATGTTTCTTACTTAACCTAAATCATTCTTAGCATTTTCATATAAGTCATTAATCCACAAAGGCGATGATAAGAAGAAGTTGCGTTATCGAGCTGCTGACGAGTGAATTTATATCTTTTTAGTACATCACAGTGTACAATCTAGTTTAATTCATTTCTGCTTTCAGTCGACTTGAAAATACATGTCAAGTAGCATCTGCTACAATTCGTCGTCTAGTGGAATCCAAAGCATGTTCTAATGGTCAAACTAAGTCTCTGGAAACTTCCATTGATGAAGCCCGTGAAAAAGTGAGAAATTTTGAAAGAAGGTTATCTTTCGTTGAAGAGGTAATAAAAAAACATATGTTTATTGACGCATACCTTTTTTTGTCCAAATGCGTATTCAAATAATACTTAAAATTTATTAAAATGGATATATGTTCAGCAAATCCAAATAAATCTGATAAAATTCTTCCCTTTTTATCTTTATTTTGATGGTTAACTCTTGGTAATATTATTTTTGAAGAAAATTGAGCTTCCTACCAAGTTTTGCCAAAGTATGCTTAATAAATAACTCTCTTTGTAAGGCAGATGTTTATTTAAAATGTTTCATTGTCATAATATACTAGTTGTTGAACTAGTTATCCTCTTAAACGCTTTTATCACTTGCAGACGATACAGCAGTTGATGGTCTATATAATTTATTCTCTACTTTTTGGACTAGACTGAGTTGAACACAAACATATAGATCAGAGTGACCATGAACTCCCAGTGGATATTTTCAATGGATTTGTTACAATACTAGAGTTTAATTGTTTAAAAATCCCAACCGTAATAAAAACGCTAATATGTGAACGAGAAATATTCCCTTCAATGAATTCCCCTCAGGTTCTTCAATTGTGTATCCAAACTGATAATCTAAGAACTGACCAGGTGCAAGGCAAAGTACATCGTCTAAAGTTATAGCATATGAATTTAGGATTATTAAACAGAACTAAATTGTTAATATTGAGTTGACTAATATGCAGTATGTTAACTTGAATCAGCTTATGAGTGAAGTTATAAAATGAATGATCAGAATAAATATGGGTCAGATAGGGTAAGAGAAATAATAGTGCAACTACAAATTCGATCAAATGTTTAGTGGAAGACTATGTCATGCAAAAATTTATATGAAATTAGTAAGAAATAATAAAGTGGAGTGAGTACTAAGTAGATTAATCATGCATTTAGGAGATTAATAGTGATGTATTTGTATTTGACGAAGAAAAGATGCAAGTGCACTAGTTAAATTAGGTCATTCAATAATTAAGGTTGCGATTGATTAACTGGTCCTGAGGTTGGCCAAGGTAAGAGACGCGGTTGAGAATTTTTTTCTTGTAAACATAAATCTGGTTTTTAATCAAACTGGCTACTGCTCCTGCTGTTGGAAGGACTCTTATATACACAAATAATTTATAAGCTAATATGAAGTCGCCTATAAACTACTGGTAGGGTTCATATAAAGAATGGAGACATAAAGTAATGTTGACTCATATAAACCAGTTTCTGGACTTAAGATAATTTTAATAACATAAATCTTGACAAATTTACAAAATAAGTACACATTTAAATTTCATTACTGTTTGTAGCAATGGGGTTCTTCACATGTTCATGGACTAATCATATAGGTATAAAAAGATCAATGGAATAGTAGAGTTTCATCAAATAAATGAATTTCGTCTTCAAATTATGCTAAATAGAACTTGTTTTTTTTAATACTTTATATTAAGTTGGCTGTGATTTAAATCTATCAAATGTAATAAATATCTATTCTCCTTAATATAGAATTTGTCGTCTAAATTATCCAAAACAATATCTGAAATATGTCGACTTAAAAAATATGTTTATCAAGTAGGTTTGATCTTTTCGAGTACTATGTGTTTTATTACGAATTTCTTCATATGTTTATTTGAAAATATCAAATTATTGTAATGTAAGCAGTTTTCTTTAAAAAGCACTTAAACTTCTCCCTATCAAATCGTATAATTAGTGTAAATTATTCACTATGTACCGATTTCTTTACTCGGTCAGTAATGCTGACCAGCTCCGCTAACTGAATTAGGTCAGCTAGAGTTTGAAATTGTGCTATTATTTATTTCATATATTTTTTATGATTTTTCACAATCCTTGTATGTATATGTGTATCTTCTTAATATCCTGAAAAAGCTTTAATTGAATATGTAGGTATTGTTTCGACATTGATGCTAAGTGATTAGTAATCCCTTGTTTATAGCAAAGTCAAACCAGACCTTCCAGGTGTGATTTTAATGAAGCTGGTTAAGCTTCTACGAAGAATGAGTATTTTGTTTAAATAAGTGTATTTCGGCGGAACTATAAACAAAAAGTTCTATTATTTACGTAATGTATTGACTCAAATCTACTACCAACTACGATCTTTGAAAAAAAATCTTTGTTATAAAAAGGATATCAGACACACTAGCTGTTCGTTAAAAACCACTGTTTCCGAGACCTCAATCTAACAAATCTGTTGCTATCGTTGTACTAGATCCATTAAAATAAACCTTATTCTAGATAGTTTATGCATCACTTATTAGTCACTCAATCATGGTTGCTCAAATAAAGGATAGGTTGCCTGGTTTTATCACCTTAAAGTATGTTTATCGACATGCCTGCTATACGTTAGTGACCAACTGGCTTCGTGGTCCAGATAGGTCAATACATATGTCTTTCCTATCAAGCCTGGCTCGTTCTAAATCTTAACTCAAAGAGCGCAGAGTGGTCATTATCATTTTTCTGATAGGACACGAGGTCATCTTTTCAATATAGTGGAGGTTATAAGGATTGAGCCAATTTTGGCCCTTATATTCAAAATAAGTTCGTAATAGTTCTCCTCTTCTATAGTCATGAAAGACCTACTAAATGGTGTAACCAAATCTTTCCAGCTCTTTTATATATTTTTCATAATATCTGTGTATTTAAAGTGGTTATTCGCACACTTTATCACTTAATATAACGTAATTTTACCTACAAATCAATGTAAAAATATTTGTGTAATTTATCATGCTGTTTTTACCACTCTTATCACTACTACTACTACTACTACTACTACTACTACTACTACTACTACTACTACTAATAATAATAATAATAATAATAATAATAATAATAATAATAATAATAATAATAATAATAATAATAATAGCAATTACAATAATAATGACAATGAACATTGGTAGTAATGGTAGTAGCAACAGTAATAAAAACGGGAATGATAGTAATACGACTACTACATTTGTCACTGTAAAATCAGTCTTTAATTATTTTTTATGAATAGTTGTGTATTCCGAATCACTGTCACTATTATTTAATAGTTTGTGTAAACCTTTTTAATCATTGTGTCTCAAGACAAGTTGCAGTTGCCCTTATACACTAATTTTTTAATTTCTGAATCTCCAGCTTAGGGTTCTCTATACGTCCCATTCTTCAGACTTTTATGTTCCTCCCGAATTAGACCTCTCATATGAAGTTCGCTGTTGTAACTAATATTATCATCTCAACTCGTATAATATTTTATCTCCCCACATGGTATTGATATGTAGTGTGTTCAGATTCCATGTGGTTTGTAACTAACCAGTCGAATCTTTAGATTTATCATACTTTTTCACAATTGGTCGTGGAATAAAAACATATATAGTGAACTATCGAACTTGACGCTGTTAAAATTCTTCAGTTTGTCTTTCATACAAATCCAAAATACGAATATGGATTTACATTTGATTAATCACTGAGTAGTGACCAATGTCATATTTGTCTAGTTCTTCAGCCTTGACCGAATTCCATCAATCAAGTTGCAATGCAGCCATTAATCTAAGTGACTTGACAGTGTTACACTATGTATCAGGTACCAGATAGTTAAAGGTAGTCGTCAGGAAACTATGAATCTAGGTTTTGCGCTATTTGGAACTCCCCAGCAAGGTGCACCTGCAATTTTGAGAGAAACGATGCCCCCTGTAGATTTGCGACCCGCACCCATCGAACTCACAGTTTGAGACATTATCACTGAGCTATCGGGATAACAACTGGCATCCTATGGAACTGAGATAACTATTTTCTATCATGCTCATCTATTTCTATATTTCTTGATCGATAAAGTTAGAAAAAGATCACTGGTCTAAGTGAATGGGCATTGTTTTGTAGACCTTAACCAGTTATTGATTTCCTAATCTGTTCGTAAAATAAAACAGATAGTTTTATCAAATAGAGAGACTAATTAACATCTGTGTTTGCAGAAGAAACTGAAAGCATCATATCTTTTTTTAAAGTGATAAACTCTTGTTTCTAATGCATAAAACCCAATTATGTATAATCTATTACAATGCAGATTCAAGCTTCCAGATCATATGAAATAAATCGGGCGCCAAGAAATTGTACTTCAGATAAAGGTGTACAAACAAGTGACTATTTACTGCCCAATGATGAACTAATCAAACTAACAACTACTTTAGCCCTCAATGATACGCAGTCAGTAAGCATACTTTTTGTGTATTTCTTTTTTCACTGTCTTTGGACTTTCTTCTTGAATTGTAGAAAAGTATGATGACGTTTAATGTCCCGTTTGTTTCGTTTATTAGTTTCGCTTTGTTTTTTAATCTGCCTGTCAGTTGATATAACGTAGATTTCTAGATAGTTGTAAGGAAAAGTGGTTGACTATGTTTAGATATTTTATATTTTCGAGGAAATCTGTCTAGAGTCTCGGTCGAAACTCTTTTGTCTCCTAACTTATTCAAAGCTTCAATTAAAGTTTTAACGTATACTAGACCATTTTCTTACTTTTATAACGCTCTTTATTGATGGAATTTTTTGCAGCAAAAAATTAAAGCATGATTTTCATCAATAATCTGCTTACACTTACCTCTTCATAAGTGCTTAATATTGAATAAATTTTCTTTAGTAATTGACCGCATGTGAAAGATAACAGCGGTATATTTCGTCACATCTAAGAATCATCAGAATATGTATATGACTATGCAAAAGTGTTTTTCTCACTTAAAATATAATTACTCTATTTGGTATTACAACAATTTAAAAAGATATATGCTTTTATCACAACTCTTACTGGTATTAGATTTCTTGTCGATTTTGTCACTTTAAACCAGAAATCACAGTTCTTAAAGCTAAGTCAAAAGCTTTTTTAATAAAATAAAAGGAGTTCTTGAGGGAAAGTTGCAGTTACACATTCATTTGACTCACTGTTTGTTCGGGAAATTCATTAGGCTTAATTTTGCCACTTGATTTGCACTACTGATTAATTGTTAAAGTAATATAATTTTAAAATGAATTATCATATGTGAAAATCATATTTGAAATAATCTCTGATATTGAAATTCACATAATTCCAACGTTTCGTCCAGAAAAGTTTGCTGAACGAAACGTTGAAATTATTCGATTTTCAATAGATGAGATCATTTTAAGTATAACTCACATATAATGGCTTCTCTATACTCGGTACCCAGTTTTTGTCAAACTACTCGTTCTAATGTCGACGAATACTGGTATAAATTTAAAATGAGTTATTTTCAAACATTTTTCTCTTGTGGTGGTTTATTTTCAATCATGCTGATAAACAAAAATTTTGTTCGACAAAAACTAATAACTACTAGATACTGATGATTACTGAGTGCTAGGAATAACACCGTTGTTTATAGTATAACTCATGTAATCATAACGTGAGCTATTCTTTTATTACCAGATTTAGTAACATTTCTTATTTATCTTCGATCATGAATTGGATTATCAGGCCACAGTAAAACATATGCATCCTGAACACCTGTTGTGTCTCACTTTGAAGTTCCTTAGGAACACATGTCTAAACTATTATACAGGATCAAACATAACTCCTCCACCTCGTACTGTAAAAATAAAAAAACTACTTAATAGGTTTAAATCCAGAATCTTTTGACTTGATTAACATCTTGATGTGTTTCATTCCGTTACACATAATTTATAATTCACTACGGTTTCTAAATTGTCTGTCAGTTTAATTGTATTGTTTATGGATTATCCTTAGTAATATGATGAGTGAATGGGTATGAATTTCTTCTCTGATAGATTCTACCTTTTCGTTTTCGAGTTAATTCCCTACTTTTTTTAAAAATATACTACTGATAACTAGTAGGTTTTTGCAGTAAAATATTATTTACGAATATCTTTTTGTTTACTTTTATTCCATAACATTAGTATTTATTAATTTTCAGTGATTGTTATCTTGCATTCAATTATTTTTTTCGTAGGAAAATCCCACTTCATCCAACCTGTTAACAGATAAGAAAGAGTTGGATAAAATGCCTAATAATTGTTGTGCTGATCTGAATTCAACGCTATTTATCAATCAATCAAATAGTAGTATCCATCGTAAAACTCTTAACACTCCAGTAGATCTAGTCAGTAAGCAAATTGAAATGGGAGTCAATCACTCTCAGGTTCAAATTAATCAAGGAAACAAAAACTGTTCAAATTTTAAACAAGATTTTCACAGTAACGTCAGTTTACTTGGTAATTCGACGGATATTTGTAATGGGTCCAAAAATTCTGAACAGTTGGTACAAATTATACCAAACAAAATGTTTAAAAATAAAGATGAAATACAAATGTTGGCAGTCAGCGAGTCTGATGTTGTTACATCATACAAACCAATACCATCGGTACGCTTTAAACTGTTGTCACCTTCGGATGGTAATAATGATGACATCAATTCAAACGAAAATGAATTAATCGAGTAAGTTACCTAGAATGTTGTTCAATTCAGTGTTTTTCAATCAATCGTACTAATAATATTTATAAAGTTCACTAACTTTTTAGCATTAGAAATTTACACTTAGAAGTGTGTCTATAAGTGGTAAGCGGTTAAAGCATATAACTTATAATAATGATTTGGTTGTAAAGTTGAAACCATCTATTTCATTTCGAACAACTGGGCGGTATCTTTAGCTCTTACAAAAAGCATTTAATTCATAGTTGAGTGTAAAAATCGGCACTTGTTGAGTTGCATAAAATAAAACTTTGTAGAATGTATCTAAAAGGAGTTATTTTATTTTTTTCCAGCCCCCGCTTACCACAATGTGCAGTTTGATTAATAAAGGAGTAGGTATGAAAGAACCTAGAGACTGCCATATTTAAACATAGTTCCACCTCATTAAGTCATTAATGAATAGTATGAGTCATGTTGATGTATGCGAAATTCTTGATCCTAGCTCGTATAATGGTTGTAACTCGCAGTTGACGACTTCAGGTGATAAGACGCGCAGTCGGTTGCTGTGGCACTGTTGCACTTATTTTCAACCTTTTTCTATTTTCGAAGTCTTGTGTCATCTTGAAATCTTTTCTTCTGAGATCGCATTTATTTCTTAGAAACTATTTCTCCTATTCATGTTTCCATTTTAGTTAATAATATTCCATCTTATTTCCTCAATTTACTGATCTATTCCCTTGATAGAGGGGATTTAAGGTTTGAAGACTTGAACCAATGAGTACTCTTTTCAGGTTCTACGCAGGGACGACTGGCTAACTTATTAATACTTTTTTTAGATTAAATATGGAATCACAAATATAATTTGTGACCCAGTAATCTCTATTGAAGTACTCACATATATCTATGAATTCTACTTCATAAAGAAGTTGGTTTATACGACTTACAAGATGCTAAGTTCAATAAAGTGTCATAGTGTAGAAGTAGTTTTTTGTTTTATGACTGATGATACATCATGTGTAGGAGAGCTGGAAAACAGAATATTCATGTTTACTTACTATCATTATCGTCATTACTTCTAAGTTAGAATAAGTAGTTTTTTAAGTAATATATATTTCTATATCCTTTCAACTTTCGGATAACATTGTATTTTACAAGGTCAGAACAAAGAACCTTTAACATTTATTGATGTAAACAATATTTGGTCATACATAAGATATTTGAAATAAATGGATTGTTTACAGGAATGTGGTTTTTTCTCCATTCATACTTCAAATTATCTAGTATTGAAAAATGAGTAACTAGAGTTGCATATATCGGAATCGGTACATAATTTTCACGTTAACATTTTGTTGGTTGTACTGTTAAATTGAGCGCCCGATCATATCTTTTATTTCGCTGCGTTGATGTCATATGTGTAATCTTCAACAATGTTCTTGAAGGGAATAACCAACTTCGCAAAACTTCGTTTTCTTTACTGTAAATTCACAAGAATTGATTTTACTAGTTCTTCAATACTTATCTAATTTATGTACAATATCTTTTACTCCTCAAATTCAGTCTAGATAAAAATGTCTATAAAACTATTTCGGAACCCACACTATTGACGTTAAATTCATCAGCATCTGAAATATCAAAATTCGCCAAAATCAATGAAATTATTGTTAATTCATTTCCAAATTCAAGTTTGAATTATCCTACTGATTCAATTAGAATTGTATCTACAAGTGTCCCTCACTTTTCTGTTTACACACAAGATAGTACATTTGTTGAATCAGATACAAATTTTCAGTGTTATAAATCAATGAATTTGTCAAATGAAGTAAGTACATTGGAATATGATGTTTTAGTTAATTTTGCAGCAGATTATTAGTTACAATTAATTACTTAACTCTTCTTGTAAAGCGGTCTTTGAGTCATCACTGCATGATAATTGTTGATATCACTTTTACAAAATACTGAGATTAGTTTCAAATTAATTTAGTCTATACCTGTTAGATTCTTGACAATTAATTCATTCAGAAGCGGTTTTGTGGAGATTTAGTATTTCCATAGTTGAAAGCATGAGTCAATTGAAGCTAGACCACCAAGGAAAACCTGGAAGCACTGGACGACCGTTTCGTCCTATTGTGGGACTCCTCAGCAGTGCGCATCCACGACCTCGCCTCGCGAGATTCGGTTAAGTGCTCTAGCGCGGGACCGGTAGGTCCTGGGTTCGAATCTCACGAGGCGAGTTCGTGGGTGCGCACTGCTGAGAAGTCCCACAATAGGACGAAACGGCCTTCCAGTTCTTTCAGTTTTTCCTTGGTGGTCTAGCTTCAATTGACTCATGATTTCAACTATAAAATTACTAAAATCTCCACAAAATCCTTCTTCTGTTATAAAACTGTTAACAGTTTGTTTCACAATCAAATCGATAATTTAGGAAAATTTATTTGAGATGGATATTGTCAAACTCATGAATAATAGCAGAAAAAAATTTACAAGAGAGGTGGTATCATCAGTTTTTTAATGTTTAATATATGTGCGATAACAAGCCTTTTTAAACTTTGTACTTTAGTTGTTTCTACATGATTATTATCTGTATTTATCTATCAATTATGTTAAAATCCTGACCTAGCCACCGAATACTCAACCACTCGATCATAAAGATGGGTGGTGATTATTAATGAAATGCAAGATGCGTTTTTCGTCCTATTTGAGACTAGTCAGTTAAATGTACCTGCATCCCTGCATTGATTTTCACCCCGGGACTCGAACGCATTAGCTTTCGCTCTAAACGCCATCGCTTTAACCACTTAGCTGTTGAGTCCAGATAGCCACTAAATTGTGCGATGAGGTGGGTTTGGTTAATTTGTTCTGAGACATCATTGGGAAGATTCAAACAACAAATCAATTTCTCGATCATAGTTTTGAGTTTAGCTATCTCTGAACAAATAACATAAATCATTAATTTTCTCAAATAATGTTTACTCATTGCAAAATCATCAGTTGTTTATTTTACTTGTTTTCCCTTAAATACCCATAATGTTTTTATTGAATTCTAGGAGCAGTCATCATCATTTGAAAAGAAGGTAAATCATTATCTGCCATCATATTGTTCAACATTAATATCATCATCATCACCATCATCATCAATATCATTATACCAGTCTCAAATTAATAATGATAATTTAAATGAAGAAGATACAGATGTTTATAATTTAGCTGCACAATTTTTAGTTGATGAACAAAAACATTCCATGTTATTAGAACAACAAATTGATGCACATTTGAAATGTTTACAAGAACATGCTGAACATTTCAATGAATTATATTAAATTACATATTTTTTAATATATATATATATTGTTTTCATTTTATTTTGATACAAGTCAATCTTTTGTTTTATACCATGGTTGTGTTTCTATATCTACTAATAACTTTAAATGTTAGTAGTATTTCTTATTAGAATACAATTTTGTGAACGTACATTAAAATTGTATACAATTTAATGTATTAAATTATATCTTAAATCCTATTCCACATATCAATCGGATAAATAAATTAAAACTGTTTTCCAGTACAATTTTTTTTATAGAAAAAAAGTAATCTTCAACTGTGATATATCTATATATTCAATATTTGACCTCGTTTTAACAGTTTACAAGACTTACCCTTTTATGGGATAAGTGCATGTATATGTATAATGCATTCTTTTACCCTTGGTGTTGGATTGTTTATATTGATTTGTTTGTTGTTGTTTCAGTGTAACAAACACACACACACACACTTCTGAACACAATGTTTAACAAATAGGCTTTCCTACGGATGAATGCACAAATCTACACATCGATTTATTAGTAAATTAACCAGCTTACACAGACAAGCACATTAAATGATTATGAGAATTTGAATGTTTCTCAACAGGCAGATATGTTTTCATATTTATCAAGTTTTATTATGAATTAATATCTATCAATTTTATAATATTGTGAAAAATAATAATCTCTTACAATCTATAAACATATAATGATGTATCATATGTTCTTTCAAAAATAAATATCCAGAGGATGAACAACTAGGATTTTCTTTTTACACTCTAATGTCACATTTACCTCAACGCTTATCAGTCACTATCTTCTTTTCCATTCTTCCTCTGGGGGACATTTTGTTATTCACTTTTTATATTTGAGATAGCTTATTTTATACAATCTTTTACTGTTTGTCAAGTAGGTTTTTTAAACGGTAAATTTTAATGTAATCAAAATATCAGTCTTTTTTCCTTTATTTTTTGTAATATGAAACCAGTTAAAAGACGTCTGTGTTCCAACGGTTGATGTTGTAAATCTGTTTGACGTTTCGTAAACTTGATTATTATTTCTTGTAGTTTTGCCCCCAAATGCCCTCGTACGGCCGAGAGTGGGGAGAGTCACCTCTCCCTCTCGAAATACTCTCATATGGCCAGCGAATATATAGCCTCTGCCAGGGAAGTCCTACTCACTGCCTTCTCGTGGCAGGGGTGTTGTTCACAAAAGTGAGAGGACGAAAAGCGAATGTCCAATGCTTTAACCGGGTCGGTGGACAAGGCGAGTCCACCTAGGGGAGTTGGAAAACCCTAATTCCAAACCAATGGTGCACATGGGCTCCAGTATCCTGAAGGAACGAACGGCGTGTGAACCAACTGTTGGTCATCGGCTACCATGGGACTGCATCTCTTCACGATGCTCCACTGCCTTGTGGATTAGACCTTTAGGTCAAAGGCTCCGGGTGCGGCCCCCTAAGAAAACCACCTGCTTCAGTCTGGGCACCTGGGCAGTATCACAGCCCTCACACAAATCAAATGAGATTTGTGAGGCGCATAAGTATCTGGTGCTTCCTTGTGCCAATATTTATGTGTTTAAATAAATAAATAAATCTTGTAGTTTAGAAATTTACGTTGAGTGAGGAGTAAAATGAATCAAAGAATGTTGTTTCTTGCATAATCCTATTGGTAAAGGCTAATAGTTGTTGTAGCTGAATATTTACTCCTTGCATAATATACGTATGATGTAGCTTCACTAATCGAATTCGAGTTAGTAGCACCTAGTTCTCGGTGCATGATCCCAACTATAACGCTAGATTATCAATCATCACGTGAAGGGTTTTTGTAAAAAGTATAATTGTGGTGTACTAAAAATATATCGGGTCAATGACACTGAATCCGCTGTTTCACTGTAGATTAGAAACGGCACCGGTTGAATGAGAAAACATGCTAACTGCTTACTCTTTCTGATATAAATTATGTTAGAGACGAAAATCAATGTAGTTTTCACAAATGTGCCAAAATATTTGATTTTTTGGCAACGTAGATAACTTAGTTTAATTGTTCTACAAAGTGCTTATCACGATTTTTTGTGATTTCGTCCGATTTGATTTTCGTTCCATTCTTTATGGGTCATGCAAAATTAAATATTTAGTGCAGTAAAGTACTGGTCTATGTATTCAGTTTTGACCTACATTTTTGTGTGAGTGGGAACTAAAAGTATTAACAACCTACCCAAACCAAGCTATTATGATTTCCTTACAACTAAGATGTCCTCATACGTAATATGAGCACTACATTCTGTTCACTTGAAATGAATATGAAAGCACAATAGCAGAAGCATGAAATTTTTTTAATGAAATAAGAATCAATGTCTAAATCAGTACTAATTCCAGCGTATAAAATAGTGTTTTTTGACTAATATTCATCTATTAATGATTTTCATTGATGTATTTTCATAAGTTTATTTAAAAATAAGACATCTTAAATAAGCTGAATAGGGGTTCAGGGAATTTTTGGATCAGTCTGTGATTAGAAAAACTAGAGCTTAATGAGTTAGTATACTGCCTTTTTCTGTACACACCGTTCTTTCACAGACCAAGAGAAAAATTCTGATTCGAGAATATAGCCACATTATAAGCAGGATCGTTCTTAGTTTGATGATGAATAAGCTTATTGCATTTATCTTAAAATTATTTATTCCTTGAAATGGACTTTGAGCTAAGAACTACCCTTGAAAGATACCAAATATATATTTCAGAAATAGAAAATTTTCTGCTTTCTTTCCCCTTGAAATGATCATAAAACTTGGGTTTTCATCTCTAGAGGAGGAGGATGAATTCTCTAAACAATTATTACATTTGTGCTGCCTATTTATCTCTGGTTGATAAAAACGTTTATTTGTGGCATCGATATTGAAATAATTGCATTACACAGTTCAGATAATGTTTCTGTCATTGTTTACATTTATTATTTTACATTTATTTGTCTTTAAGTTGAGCATGAATACCTGCAAAACAACGAAATGTAACCTATCTACCAGTCTTGTCCTATCATAACGAAGTAACTGTGGTGCAGCGTACGGGAATAATATTTTTTAGGTTGTAAAATCTGCTTGGTTGACTCTCACCACACCGTCTTCTGTCTCTTCCCTCTTGGACCAGCCAAAATTTAGTTCCAACCGCACAATACAGAGCATGCTTTCTAACCAATAAAAACTGTGATTTTTGACTTGTAATCCTTATAATCAAATTTATGTCATCTCATATGTGTTAAGGTAAAGTGACTTTAGTGCAAATGTTATTGAGAATAGTTTGGTAATTTGTGATTATGATTACTTGATTACAACGTGTATAACCATCAACCTATTTATTACAGGTAATAAAACATTTCTATTATGATCGGTGGTGAACTACTTAGTATTTTTAGATGTATGCAACTTTTGTAAACAGACAAAATTGTAGGATGAAGTGAACTCATTTCATTTTGTCTGCTCTAAATCTTCTACATACAAAGTGATTTGTAAAAATAAATAGTGTTTTACAAGTATGATGTTTTGAGTAACATACATAAAGACATTTGGTCCAGTAGTGAAAAATGACTGTATTTACCTTCCGTATAACAAGCGCTTGGATAACTGAATCGATTGATTTGTTATGAAAGGTGAACTCAAATTTTCCATTTATCGACTAGATATCAGGATTTTATGATTACAATTTGAATCATTCCACAGTTTACGGACATAGTTATTTCTTTCTTTCCGGTCACCAAAAGAATGTACGTAATCTTTAAGTTTAATATTCTTAAGTTGAATACACTAATTTGAAAGTATCATAAATATCGTAATTATATACTCACAGCTTTGGCTTTATCTAAGAAGTCTATTTTTTCTGTATGTTTTAACTAAAGATCAGAAGCTTTTTAATAAAATAAAACAAAACTAATTAACAGTGTTCACTTCTATGGATAATAATAATAAAGACGTTTCAATGAGTGGAACTTTCTTAATAATATCATTTTTCAAAGCTGTACAACTATATTCTGTTCTCTGAAACATCTTCAATCCTTTTAAAGAATCAATAGTCTTTTTTATCCTGTAGATAATTTCATTTCTCATACAACATACTGTGGTCAGATTGTTTTCATATTTAGGTAAATGTACAAGGTTTCAGAGTTTGTTTTAGTCTTATCATGATATTAAGTCATATCACTTTAAGAGCTAAGAACCTTGTTAAATATACTTATTACTAAATAAAAGCTAACTATCACAATTTTGAATCAACAACAGCATAACAATTTCTTGTTTCCTACGCTCCTCAATTTAGTGTTAGTATGTATATACACTGTCAAAGTCAACGAAATCATATTGAGTTCATGTGCAAAAATCATTAAAGAATGTTTGTAACCTTGATCACTGTAATAATTTAAATCATAAAAGTGTTATAATAAATAAGATAAAATAATGGATTATTGAATTTTTTAATGTAGTTTGATTTAGTAATTGAATCAATCAAGTGTATAATTGATTAATTCATTTATATCTATTATATATATATATATACCAAGGAAAAGAAAACAAGCAGCATATTGACGGTTATCATCTAGAAAAAACACTTTCTTCGTTGCTTATTTCCGATATTTGGTTAATTGATTTTTGTTCTTCATGTAAACTTTGATGTATGTGTGTATGTGTGTATCGTTGTGTATTTACTTTAACAGTACCAATCAATCATAATGTTTAAATTATCTTTCACTTAGAACAAGTGGAACAATGTTATTATTCATCAAAGTAATCGTTGTAATAGTAATTATTTGTATGAATGATAAATAATGAGTAAATATTGCACATATATGATGATGTATATGTTAGTTTATGTGCTTCAACATGAAAATGTGCATATGATTTTGTACCTGAAAACTTGTTTCAATCATCGGTAGTTAAATCAGTAAGTCATTCATTCATTCTTGTTTGTTTGTTTGTTTTTTTAATTTGTCATTTTATAGTAAACTAACACATTATTATCCTTAAATAAATCAAAATCAAAATAAACAATTTTATTTAAATAATAAACAGAATGTCAAAATAAAATTATCCAATAAATAAATTAAAACAATCATATACCCTTAAATGATTTAAACAAGTAATAATATTGAACAGTTTCTATGTTAACAAGTATTTTTCGAAGGACATTTTGTTACACAGATAATCTTCGTGTAGTCTTGATTGTCACCGTATCGCATTGGCTTTTATCGATTACTTCCTTGGAAGTTTATCTTCTAATATACTTTTTACTCATTCATTCTAGGTTAGTATAGTATGTAATTGCTCAAGGCTTTTGTCAGGACTGAATAAATTGTCAATTGGGAAAAAGTACATCAAAATACTTTATTGTCTATATTCTGAATAGTTATTAATACTTTTAGATTATTCAGTAACATTTTCCGTTTGGAGAGAAGGAAATTCTATGTCTACAGGAGGCTAAGAAAGATTGCATTATAAATTGATTCGACAATAAATAACAAAACGGTGTTATGTTTGTCTCTTTTCTTCATATCTGTCGATTGGACTATCTGACCCATAAATTATTCTCTTCCTTACCCCTTGATTAGAAAGAAATTTATCAGAAATGTCATTGGATAGTCACCCAAAAGTTTTAAAAGACTACTTTATGTCGATAACTTCACATTACATAAAAATGTTATTTTTCAGTTTGTGACCTACTGATAGAATCTTACATGTAAGGTTATCCAAGGCAAAATTAGTTATTTATTTATATATTTTCAATAAAATGTTACGTCTCGCTTATCATTCTAATAATTATCTGTTTATATAAGTAGTTAGTTAAGTTTCATTACTAATTCAGTTTACACTTACTCAACTGTCAAATGATGTACTCAACTTTCGATTGAATTAAATATCTGACTGTCGAACAGTTAAATTAAAGTGTATCTTTTGTCAATGATTGTAGGCCTCAACACTTTGAGACTTCTTCAATAACTGCAGATTAAATGCCATCCATCGAATATGT